AATATTGCAACGATGCAACAGCATATGCATAGAAGCATTTCAAAAAGTGGGGGGGGGGGGGGGTGGCAAGCTTGAGGCATACTTCACAATCTCTTTTCTGGAAAACAAGCTGGATGACTGGAAGAGGGAAGAGATGGCGGTTATTGCTATTTATTCAGGTGTAATGACTACTATGCTAGAAATCCATCTGGAGCTATTTCTCACTGGTGCACACTATTGCCTATGTGAATCATTATGTCATTTGGCAAATAAGGCTATCAAGCTTCCCAATATTGTTCATTCATTTCAACATCGTCTTTGCTGGGTAGCCAAAATTCCATGAGGGGGTAGATATTTTGGGACATTGAGGAAGCATCTGTCTCCAAAGGGTAGATGCTAAAATATGGCGAGCATAGGCTGGTGAAATTTTGAAAGTGAATCAATATCTCACAGACAACAAATTTTGCTCACACCTTAATTTCACTGGCTGTGTTTCGAGGGATTAAGAGTTGTCTCGGCAATTTAAGAGGAAGCAAATTTGGACATTTGAAACTGTCAAAAACTGTGTAACCTAAGCCATAGAACTGAGCATTCTTCTTTGAAAACCAAGAATGAAAGTCCTTCTATAGTCCTAAGTTCTCTGTATAAGTTCTATAAAGTCCTATATTCCTTGTCTGAGCCTTGCTCCCATCTGACGTCGGTAGCCACTGCCCTGGCCGGGCTGTCATGGCTGTTTTGTGGCACATTTCTTGGTCACATTGCTACTTATTGGAATGTAAAACATGTGTTGGACACCAGCAAAAGTACCTTTTTCCTAATTATCTTCCCTTACCACCACACCACCCCAGAAAAATGCCGCCGGAAGGCTGCCTACTCTAGGTATGAATTGGCCAACAAACATTAATTGCCTGTCATTCAACGTAGATGACTTGATCTGCTTTTGTGCGAAGGAAGGGGATAGCCAGAGCCTTGCTAAGACGAACAAAGGGTTGACAAAACGGTGATCCCCTACAAAAAATATCCCCGGATATAGTTTAACATGTTAACAAGGGATACAGTGTTCTTCTTTCTTGTTACTTTTTACATTGTAACCAGAACAGAAACCAGAAGCTACCGTGAAATCAATTCTGGTTACATTTTTATCACGCGCCCGGGTGGCCGGCTAGATACCCTTCGTCGGGTGAGGAATCAATTAAACCCCCTGAGACTCGGGAACTAAAAGAGCTAGACCCCAACTTGACAGAGTTGTGTTGGTCTGTATGTGAACTCACTTAGGTGAAAGTTTGAGATCTCTAGATCATGACTTTTGGGTCAAATAAGGTCAACAAGGTCAAATGCCAGGTTGGTCTTTTAAGTGCCCCAGAACTCTAGATAAACTGTTTCTTAACAAGAGGTCACATGTCTCAGTTAAGGTCAGTGACCTTGTCCTGACCTTTTGAAGGTCATGGTGACCAAAATCATACGAGACTGCTCTGAGTTTTGGATTGAATGAGCGAGAAGGTAATGCTAGGCAGAATGTTTCTGAAAACAAAATGTTGACCTAGGTCATTTTAGGTCCATGACCTATTCGACCTCTAAGAGTCCATGGACAATGTTATAATGCGGTTCCTGCTATCAACAAATTCAAATGAGCAGCGAGACACTGCCTCATATAGCAAGCCCTCTAGTAATATAACAGGTTTGTTTTGAACCTTGGTCGACCTTTATGCCTGACTTAGGTCACCGTAATTTGCTCATCAATATTTGTGTTGCACTAAGAAAGCATCTCAGAGATGTATGCCTTCGTCTAACACTCCACTGCTGCATCAGATTGGACGTTACCTGGAAGTTTACTTCGCTTAAACCATGGCTTGACTTTGACCTTGGCCATAGTTCAGCGACCTTACAGGTCAGTGCATCTGAATTTGTCATGCCAAGCGATCCGCTATTCTATTTTCTACAGCTATGCAAAACATGGCGTGACTGTGCCGCGCCGTTCGGAAACCATTCCGGAAAAACCTTCGGGGAGCGAGTCAATTTGACCCCACCCGAGCGCATGTTAAGGTCAATGAACCGCAGAAATAAGACGTTGACGACTGCATGGAATGAATCACCGGTGTCCTTAATTTGCAATGGCTTAGTAGACTCTTTCTAATTCGAAATAACTCAGAAGGTCTTTGGTAATGTCTCATCTGCGTTCTACAGACATTAAGGACGTCGCGAAGTTAGATTGTAGATCAATATGTTTGATCGAAATTTGAGGGTGAAAATTTTGATTGTAGATCGAGTGGTCAACAATGTATAACATCGACAAACCATGTTTGTCTGGAAATATTTAACATTCAGTCAGAATCGATAAGTGATGCAATTTATATAGCGTGGTTTTTAAACATGCACGCTCGCAAATCTTAGCAACAAAAACCTCGATACCAGGCGTTGCAGCCTCCATAGTCAGCGGAGCGTTAAGTGGTTAACTTTTCGTCATGGTCCACCGGTGGACGAAAATGAAAGCGGTTCTAAAATAATTACCTTTAAAAACTTGAATCGGTTAGTAATAAAAGTTAGGTGACATAATTTCGAGCATGCGTGATCGCAAATCTTAGTTTAAAAACACTTCGACTCCAGGCGTTGCAGTCTCCGTAGGCCACGCAGCGTTGGCTCCATAGCTAATACTGAGCCGTGGCCAACGGGTGGACGGAAATGATGACCCTTCCGAAAGAAGTACGTTTGAACGCTTCAGGACATCAAATCTTACATCTACAAGGCAGTCTGGCCACATATTTCACGTGTGCGATTCTTAGACTGATGATGAGACAGGGTTGGCTCTTAAAGCACCGCGAGGTGGTGCCGGAATCTAGTGGTGGAACTGGAAGAGTAAACGTAGATTCTTTGTTTTTTCGTGGTTCTTCGAAGCCGTTGGGTTTTACGGAAGCTGCATCTAGACATCGCTGTCCTTGCTCTTGAGGTTGCGGGCGGCCATGCTCAGCCTTTTGATGCACTTTTCACAAATCCATTCTGAAAAATGAGCGTTCTTAGCAACATGGGATGTCCTTCCGTTTTTAACATTCATTTCGACGTACTTTGTTCAGCAATAATGGGACCCCCACTCTATCACACAATAATGAGGCCCCTTATTTCCCTCCGTCAAGTGGCCCTTCGAGTAGAAAACCAAGGGCACATTACCGCTTCCGGTCAAGGACTGGAGGTTCACTCCGTCCCATCGAGAAGGTCTTCTGGCTGCCATTCTAGCGAGACGGGGCCGGGATCTCCTGGTCGATCCGTGGCCATTGGAAGGATATATCGCCACATGTGCCCTCCCTACAACGGGAGGCCTTCTGCACACGGTGGCCCCGGCTCAGCACAGGAACCCCCATTGACACAAAAAACATCGCTGATCGCCAAGGTGTCCCTCCATTGTAACACAGGTTCCAGTTCCGTGTTTTTTCCGTTTTCTTCAGAGATATTGAGAGAACCCTGAAGTATATGTAAATGAAATGGGGTCCTACGCTTGTATCAACAGTTAAATCGAATGATTCAGTCAAAATT